GTCACGCCGCAATCCCTTCTCCTCCATTCTCCTCTCGGGATCTTGGGCACGCACGCACACGCACCCGGCGTGAGTTCTAAGCCACCGGGTCCGGGACACGAACCGCGGTCGACTACGTGGGAGTCCAGCGACATAGCCATTACGCTAACTGCTGGTTCCCTAAAAAGGCTGTTTTCAGAAGAGCCAGATTGCACACGGCTGGCCACGGTTCAAGTCCTGGCCATAGCAGTTTGAGAAAATATGCCAGGTGCATGCTCCAAACACAGACAGGATGGAGAAGCGGAGAAGGGACTGCAGCGGGACCACCCCCACTGGGAAACGCTCCTACCTCTGGCAAATGTACACGTTTTTTGACAATTAAAAAAAAAGTTCAGATATCAAATAAAAGTGGGTGGTTTTTTTCCTCTTCTTCTTTCTGGAATTTTTATTCCTGAGGCTTCTTCCACTTTTGACTTTTGATTTTTTAAATTTTTCCGGGTGCATGTGTACTCACTAGAGAGAATGAGAAAGCGCCCTCCACGGGGCCTGGTCATGCCACAATGCCTCTCCGTCCCTCCCTCCTTGGGACCTTGGGTGTGCACAGACCTTCCTTTACGGGGCCTCTGCGTCCGGGACTCCGGCTGCCCGACAACATGTGCCCCTCCTGAAACAGAATGAGCGACAGTCCCCTTCAGTGCTGAAGCCTCTAACAGACGTTCGGTCACGAGTACTTCGTTCAAGTGATCTTTAAGGGGAATTTAAAACTGCAGGTGGGGGCCAGCAGATGGCGTAATGATCACATTGCTGGACTCCCACACAGTTGGCTGCAGTCTGAGTCCCACACCCGGCGGCCTGAAACTCAAGTCCGGCGTGTGCGTGTGCCCGTGATCCCAAGAGGAGAATGGAGAAGGGACAGTGGCATGGCCATCCCCCCGGGGAGTGACTTTTCACTGTCTCTCCAGCAAGCACATGCCTCCTATAGAAAAAAAAAGTCCCTTAAAAAAATAAAGCTGCAGGTGAAGCCTTCTTTGATCATGGTTCTGTCAGGCTAAGTAAGTCGTTCCTGCTACGAGGTGGGGATGAAGTAAGCGGGACTCAGCTGTACGTGACAGGGTGCTGCCTTGCTGGCTGGGATGCTGGGCGTCAAATGCAGTAAGAGCTGCATGCTGGAAGATACAAGGCGTGCGTCCAGTGAACGCTCACTCACAGAGGAACTGGGAAACGTAACGTAGCTTCCTTCCTTTGCAGAAAACGAGGTGCCGGTCTCTAAGTAAGCCTCCTTCGACCTGCTTCTAGAAGCCTGGACTCCAAACGTAGGACAAATACAAGCCCCACGGCTGTCTCTGGGACAGACAGACAGATGCCCTGCATGCGTTAAAAGTCCAAATAAAGACTTCAGTGCAAAGGCAGCGTACTCCACTGTTCCTGCTGTCTCACGCAGCGGAGGGCCACGAACTGCCATGCTGGTGGGAGCTGGCTGTGGCCGACAGCACCCAGCACTGTTCCGGGCTTCACATCAGCTCCAACTTGACTTGCTGGCCATGGGCAACAGGCTCTGCAGACAAGGCTGCAGCAGACCTCACCCCAAACAGCCACGGCTCTGATGCCGTGCACAGGCCACCGCTGGACACGCTTCTCAGTCTCGTAGTGCACGGCGCTCTGACCGCTAGAACGGTAGTGTCTTGTCCTTGTGTTTGGGGACAGACACCTCACTCACTGGGAAGGAACTTCATTACACCCTGGGGAAGCTGGGCCCACAGATGTCACACAGAGCCACCGACGTGGTTGGTAACCAGCCCCAGTCACTTGAGGAGGTCAGGGGAAGTGACTGACATTCCTGGGGCAGGGCTGAGCTGACGGGTGTGGGCAAGGGAGGCGTCAGGGAGGAGGGCCCCCTGCCGGCACCCTGACACAGCCTTCCCTGACACAGCACCCTCCTCCCTTCCACTTCCAAGGCCATCCTGCCCCTGCTCCATACGGACTTCCCTCAGTCCCTCTGCGTGCACCACCCACAGACCAGTCTCTGCACATGTACATACGCACACATGCACACGCATGCACCCCTGTGGGTAAGGACGCGGAGGCGGAGTGGGGTGGTGGCTGCTGACAGCACTCATAGCTGGTCGGTAGTCTGGTGTTTAAGTAACATCACGCAGCGGCCAGGCGACCCCACTGACAGGGAGTCCCGACACTACCCTGTGCCCCTCCCCACCGGTGAGGACGGCTGCTGGACAGAAGCAGCTGCCCCGGTCACAGGGCTCCCGGGCACCTGTGTGTGCCGAGGCGGTGGCTATCCCACCTGCAGGCGCACGTCCGAGAGTGTGACGGCCACATGAAACAGTGACTCACGGTCACACGGGGTGTGCCCCGGGCTGTGGCAGTGAGACGGGGAGACACTTACAAAGGTGGCGGGGACACGCAGCTTGTGGAGCTGCAGGATGGACTGCAGCAGGCCGGACACCAGGCTGGAGACCAGCACGTCCTGGCCCAACTTCCCTGGCTCCGCTGCCTTCCTCTGGCTCGTGGCCACCTGCACGGTCCCCCTGTCCGTGTCCGCGACGATGCACAGGGCCTCAGCGATCGGCTCGTCGAGCACCGGGTGCTAGAAGAGAGCACAGTGGTCAGCGTGCCATGGCCTCCAGCCCTACCCAGCCTAGGGGCTGCGGGATTTAGAGCTTGTCTCAGGTCTCACTGGGGGCGCCCCTGAACTGTTGCTTAAGATTAACTGGGCAAAATAGCACCCAACCATTCTCCTCATGCCAAGGAGACAGAAACCTGGCAGACCGTGCCCCCATGCCCTGGGGCGTTCCCACTCACACCTCTCTGGAAGGCTGTGCTCTCCCGAGGACGGAGGAGAGCCCATGAAGGCGCTGCCACCTCTCCCGCCCCGCCAGGCAGGCAGCGGCCACCCCC